GTAGGCTGGGTTGGTGGGGAGGGGGGGGTACGCGAGGTTGACCGGCAGCAGCAGAAGGAACCACGCTCACACCGCTCCTCACTTCGTCTCGTCAATGTTTCTTTATTGTCCCGCTCTGACTGCCGGGGGGGTAAAGTGGAGCGTCTCCCCAGGACGGACGACTGGCTGAGCCGTCACTCACAGCAGTGGGGGGTGGGGGGGTGGGGTGAACAGTAACTAGGGGGGGGGGGTGGGTGACCACCGATCACCTGGCTTCACCTGGGCCCCGCGTGGTGACCTCATCCCCACGGTGGCTCGCGGGGATTGTGATTCCACTCCCGTCGAGTGCGCAGGCGGTGCAATTGCGGGCCCAGCCGCCGCGGCTATGAAGAGGGGGGGGGGGGGGGAGTTGGCGGGGGGCGGTATTGGATAGGGGGCTGGGGGAATTTGAACTCTTTGCAGCAGCGCCCGTGCCAACTTACGCGAGTTGGGTCCATGAGCCGAGAGCCGATATCGAACTTGTCGGTTCCGCACCCGAGAGACTCCGAGAGATTCGGCATCGCTCGAGTGGCCCCCTACGTGGCCCCCTACGTGGCCCCCTACGTGGCCCCCTACGTGGCCCCCTACGTGGCCAAACAGCGGTGGAGTTTGTTTGTTTGTGTGCGACCGCCGCTGCCAACGAAGAGCGAACGTCGCGAAGCGGATCTCGCTCTCCGTGTCAACGAGTCGCCGATAAAAAAAAATAGTCGCGCAGCCCGAAGCGGGAGTTGTGCGGATGTCCGCTCTGCTCCAGGAGGAAGAGGAGGCTTCGTCGAAATCGATTGGTGACCACCACACGCCTGAACGCGCGTTCCCCCCCTCTCTCTCTCTCTCTCCGTGCCAGTCGAGACTGCTGCTGCTGCTGCAAATCGCGTGTGCGCGCGCATCAGAGAGAATTGATGTTTGGAGTTTTACGAAAGATCGATGGCCGTGTCCACTCCTCCGTGAGAGCTTGAAGCCTCGGGAGACTGCCTCTCCACGACGGAGGCATCGACACCGCCGCCTCGTCGCCTCGACTCCCCGACTCACCCCGACTCGACAAAATACATGGGCGAGTCTAAGCAGCAAGCCCCCCCCCCCCCCCCCACAAAACCACCTCTCCCCCACGCTCCCCTCCCATCCTCCCCTCCCCCACAGAATCTCTGGAGTGAAAAACACTGCTGCAGCCACCAATCAAGACTCGCTATTCGACTCACAGTGGGGAGGGGAATGGGCGTGGGTATAACTCGGGTTGCCACCCGTCCCGGTTTTCCCAGGATCGTCCTGGAAAATCTGTAGGCATTACGAGTTTCTGTTTTTTGGTCAGTTTTCATCCAGCAGTGGATGGCTCGTGGCTCGTGATGTTAAACACACCACCCGAAGACATTTACACGAAATTCTCCCACCTACTGTCATTGGGGAGATGCTATTCTACCCACGTAACAATAAAAGATAAGAATAAAGAATAAACATATTCTTATCTTTTATTTTTATTTCCACCTACGTGACTTTACCGAAAGAACCCAAGAGTATGGATCCTTGCAGTCACGAAAACTTCAAATCTAGAATTACCCACGTAACGCCCCGTTTTTGTTGTTGTACGGTGGAGGTGGCAACCCTTGGCATAACCACGTAGCGAGCAGCAGCAGCAGTGCTTGTCATTACAGCTGGGACTGTCGTGCCAGGTCAGGTCTCACTCCCCGCCACCCTCCCTGCATCTCTGCAAGTTCATCTTCATATTCTTAGGTTTTTTCGGTAAAGTCACGTAGGTAAAAAATTAAAATTAATGAAAAATAAAAAAAATCACGACGTTTCGGAGGCAATACAAGCTTCCGTCTTCAGGTGGAACCGTCACAGCCACTTGATACAGCTGTCGTGGCTGTGACGGTTCCACCTGAAGACGGAAGCTTGTATTGCCTCCGAAACGTCGTGATTTTTTATTTTAATTTTATTTTACTTTTATTAATTTTACATTTTTACCTACGTGACTTTACCGAAAAAACCTAAGAATATGAATCCTTGCAGTCACAAAAGCTTCAAATCTAGAAGTTCATCTTCATTTAGACATCTCCCGCGTTCGCGCAGCAACTCGGTGATCGATTTCTTCTTCTTTACAAGGGCGCGTCAGCTCGTAATAATAATAATCACAATATTAATTATGACATCGTGTAAAATGTATCGATAGCGATTGGATTACGGAGAAAACTTTCAAAAAATAAATACAGTTAACTGTCGTCGTTATCATCATTATTGTTATTGTTATTTCTGCTCGTTTGTTTTGTTTTAGTAAATGATGGCGATGCTGGGGACAACACAAGACGTGGAATGAGTTTGGAAGGAGAAAACAAAGACGACAAAACAAACTGAGGACTGGATCGCGGAAAATCTTAAAGCGTCTGCTAGCGAGTTTATAAACCATCATGCCTGTAATGTACATAGCCTCCCCAGGAAATCATCATCATCAGCAATTACTAACATCATCATTAACATCATCATCATCAGTATCATCATGAAATAGAGAGGATAACGTGTAACTCCCCTCCCCCCCCCCCCCCCCCCCATGACTGGCAAAACACTTAAAAGTCCGTGGTTTTGTTTGTTTAATATTTTCCGTGCGTGCGTGTGCGTGTGTTGTTGTTGTTGTCACGATGTGTTCAACACACGGCGGAGTTGGGTGCACACACGCGCGCTCAAGTACACGGGTGACGAGAGGACTTCTTGCCAAACGTCGTTGTCATCATCATCATCGTCATCATCGATTCACTTTGTACGCGGCGAGCACGCGTAGGGAAGCAGAGATTAAGACGAGGTCGCGTAACGGGGCTCGCGTAACGAAGTGGGTAACGCCGGTAAGATGACGTAGGGTAACAAGGCTATAGGATAACGAAGGGGGCGGGTAGTTCATTGCTCCCGTATCTCTGTGTTAGAGGGGGGGGGGTGTGGGGAGACACAAGGGGGGTGGGGGGAGTGGGATACTACTACCAACTACCAGTGGCGATTTTCTGTAACAGTAAAAAGGGGTTAGGGGGGGGGCACAATCTAATACGTGTTGTGCGTGTGTGTGTACTGGTGCAGAGGGGGGGGGGGGTGCATCCAAACCAACCTCCCCCTCCCTCCACCCCCTCCAGTATAAAACTATCATGAGTGGAATGGGATTATTCTTAGGTTTTTTCGGTAAAGTCACGTAGGTGTTGCCTCCGAAACGTCGTGATTTTTATTTGTATTTTTTATTTTGCTTTTATTAATTTAAATTTTATTTTTTTACCTACGTGACTTCACCGAAAAAAACCTAAGAATATGAATACTTGCAGTCACGAAAGCTTCAAATCTAGAATGGAATGGGATTGTAGCCGAGTTCACATCTGGGCGAGTAGTTTGGCAATCAGCACGGGTGTAAGCGTGGCTCGTGTCTGACCCCGCCCCCCTTGCCAGCGTAGACACACCCCCTTTGATTAGCTCCGCCCCCTTTGATTAGCTCCACCCCCTCCCCGCATCAGCATCGTAACGACCAATCAGAGTCCCACAAAGTGTGCAGCACGTGGCTTCGAATCGTCGAGCTGTACGCCGTTTGAGAGTGGAGTCTGGACCGTGAGTAGCAGGAATCATGGAGGGGGAGAGGGGGTGCCCAACAGCTCGCAACCGGTTGCAGAGACGTTCACATTACAAGCGAGCCTCTTGCACACAACCGAGTTGCATTCAATCGAGTTGCATGCGACTGATCGCTCGGGTGTCAAGTCGGCTTCAGTGGACAAATGGAGGGGTCACGGGATATCGCCCGTGCGACTGCGACGGGATCTGGCGGAGGGAAGGAAGCGATGGTGATGTGTCGTGGTGGTGGTGGTGACATCAGGTGTGGGGTCTGGGGGGGGAGTTTGGGGGGCGCCTGTATCTGCCCCCCCCCTCCCACAACTACTAACATCTCCCTATACCCCCGCCCTCCTCACACGTGCACACAATGGGGTAACGCAGGGATTGTAGGGAGCGATTTTTTTTGTAACATTTGGGAGGGGCCCGGGCAAATAACGATTAATCGATTCATCGATTCAAACAGCGGCTTACACTAAACACATGCATCGACCCATGCGCGCGGACACAGACTTATCGATTCAAATACCTCACGTGTGATTGGCTCATAGACCACAATGGCAACGAAGTGATATAATCGATCCTTCACCGAATCGACGCGATTATTCGCAGAGTGGAAGGCGTGATCTGTATACCCCCCCCCCCACCGCCGTGCATCACCCCCCCCCCGCCCCACTGTTTAAATATCACTTAAAACTCCCGCGCTAATGTCATTATCGCTATTTTGCAAAACTCAAAAAATATAACCGATTCCTCCTCCAGCCTCACACCACCACCCCCCCTCCCCCCCAAAAAAACAACAACCGACGTGTCCATACTACTGTGGAAAGTTCGCTTACGATCAGTCGAGACCGATAACGGCGACACCGCGGGGGGCAGGAGGGATGACACGACTCGTGACGTCATCGCGGTGCCAGGCTAGGTGCACGCCGAGTGCCGCGTGTCAATGGCGGAGTACTTCGTCGGCAGGAGGTGACGCGATCGTCGTACACAAAGACAAAGGTGCCACATTCCGGCGTGTAGCCTACACACGATGTTGGGGGCAGGGGGATGTTAGCGAGCACCTATGAAGGCCAAACTCAAAACACGTGTTCACGCGCACACGATCACGCTCACGTGATCACGCGCACACGAGCACGTGATCACGCGCACACGAGCACGTGATCACGCGCAAACAAAGACGAAGACACACACGGGCACGCACAACAACAGCGGCCGCCATTCGCCACTCAGTGCCGGTGACGTCACCGCGGCGCGCCTGTGCCAGGCTAGGTGCACATTGAGGCCACCCGGACAGGCACAGGTGCCACGGGTCGACTGACTGAGGTGACTGGCAGATGCACCACCTGTGCCCCCTACTGTGCCGAGGCTGTACACACACATGATCAACAAATACTAAGATCCCCCGTATAGCCTGAACAGACTGCCGGGGCAAGTGCTGTTAGCGAGCACCTATGAAGGTCGGCACAACACACGACCGGCTGCCTTTGTTTCCCCAATGCTGATGTTTAAACACTGCATCACGTGGTCATTTACGACCGAGCCGACCTAGGGGAGGCCCAAGACCGGTTCGGAGATTCGTCGCAGGTGTTGGTTGGCTGCGAGAGCGGGAATCGAACTCGGGAAGCCGGGTTCGTAGCGCAGTGCGCTAACCGCTACCCCACCACTCTCCATGAAACACCTACAAAGACGCACACGCACAGACTCATACGGACACCCACAACATCACGAAACCGCAGTTCGCCACGGCGTGGCGGTGACGTCACCACATCGCTTGTGCCAAGCTAGGTGCACTTTGAGGTTGTCACGTGACGTGTGGAAGGCTCGTTGCTGGCAGGTCACGGGACATTCCCAGGTGTTATGGGTCGACCGACTGAGATGACTGGCAAACACACACACACATATATACACACACACACAGAGACACCTACATGAAGACACGCGCACTCATACAAATACACGCTTACACACACACAGAGTCATACACACACGCACAGTGACACATCTACACAGGTAATGGCTGTTACACAAGCGGCTGTGCCGCGTGCATGAATCCCGTCCCCCCATCACTCTACTCTCACTGCGGGGGTCATAGAGGCTCGGGGGGGGGGTAGGGCCCCCCCCCCATATCATATCATTACACACCCCCCCCCCCCCCCTGTCCTGTTCACTCGAGGGACGTCAGGAAGAACAGACGATACAGCTGAGGGAGGTGACGATGTTCGTGGGCGTCTGTCTCTTGACTGGCCCATCGCTCCATCACGTGCCGGGCGGCGGTGACGGCGGTGATGGCGGTGATGTTTCATGGGCATCTCGTCCGGTCCAGGGTCACCACGGCCCACAAGCCCCCTCCACCATCACACCATCGCTATCGGTGTCAGCGGCGACGGCGGTGATGTTCACAAGCGCCGCTCTCCACCTGTCCGTCACTCTCCATCGCTCTCCCATCAACGCACGGCCATCACGGAGAGCGGGGTGATGTCGGTGATGGTGGTGGTGATGTTCATTGGTATCCGTCCGGCCTTTTGCTCCATTGCTCACCGCCACCACCACCCTGAGGGCGGTGATGGCGATGGGGGGGGGGGGGACATCAGCTTCTCCACGACGTGCCCCATCACCACACCAGCCCCATCACCATCGATTTACCAGCACCCATCAGCTTCACCAGCACCCATCACCAGCAGCACCATCATCACCATCACCAACAGGGGAGGAGGATGGAAGTTTATGGAGGCACCGCTTTTCTGTGCCCTAAGCCACAGAACCAAAGTCCATCGCGCGCACGCCGGAGGCGAGGGAATGAATGTTGAATGAGCGAGCGAGCGAGCGAGCAGAAGAGTGAGCGAGCGAGTGAGTCTTCTTGAGTGAGCTGAAGAGCAAGCGGTCAGTGGGTGAGCGTGGGCGAGCCAGTGAGTGAGCCAGTGAGCGTTGTTGAGTGAGCGTTGTTGAGTGAGTGAGCGTTGAGTGAGTGAGAGTTGTTGAGTGAGTGAGAGTTGAGTGAGAGTTGATTGAGTTAGCGTTGGTGAGTGAGCGTTGTTGAGTGAGTGAGTGAGAGTTGAGTGAGAGTTGATTGAGAGTTTAGTGAGTGAGAGTTGAGTGATTGAGGGTTGAGTGAGTTAGCGTTGTTGAGTGAGTGAGTGAGAGTTGAGTGAGAATTGAGTTAGCATTGTTGAGCGAGTGAGTGTTGTTGAGTGAACGTTGTTGAGCGAGTGAGCGTTGTTGAGTAAGCGTTGTTGAGTGAGTCGATGAGCCCGAGCGAGCGAGCCTCAGTGGTCCTCGTGTGAGCCGCAGTGCGAGCGACGGAGCCTCAGCGGAGCGAGTCGAGTGCGCGAGCGAGCGATTGAGTTTGGCTGAGCGAGGCATCGGGTGCGTGAGGACGTGAGCGAGCCGCCTTTGTCTTCCCACTCCTTGCGCCGAGTCAAGGTGGAGGAGGGCACAATGCGGCGGTGGGTGGTGGTGGTGGTGTTTGGTGGTCGAGGCGACGATGATCGTCGCTGGGATTCGGTGGAGGAGAGGGGTGGGGGGTGATGGAGAGGGGTGCAGCGCTGCATCGCCACCAGCGTGCTGTGCCTCGCGCAAATCAGCGACGTTCGCTCATCGCCTCCAACCGACCGGGGGGGGGGGGATGCAGCCCCCTCCCTAGCCCCCCCCCAGCCCCCCAGCCCACCGACGAGCACGCTAGACGGGCCGGTCCACTGCGTACTGGCACGCGCTGAAATTGGACGGCGGCGCCTGCAGGCCCGCGTATCCGGCGAAACTCGAGTGGTGCTGCTTCGCCTTGAGCCTCAGGCTGGCCAGGCTCGAGTTGCAGGGGTCGCCCCGGTAGACGTAGGGCGGCGCGGGCGCTCCGGCCGCGTGGGCCGCCACCGCGTACGGGCACCCGCCGGCTCCAGACGCGGGACTCGTGGCCACGGGCGAACCGCTGAGGTTGCCGATGCCCGGGTGGTGTTGGGGCATCATCGAGGAAGAGGCGACGGCGGCTGCCGCGGCCATGCCCGTGGTGCACGGGGGCGAGAAGACGGGCGGCGAGACCGAGTTGAAGAATGGAAAGTTCTTTGAGAGGGGCGCCGCGGAGGGCTGAAGCGCCTTCGCCCAGTTGTTGTAGCCGTAGCTGGCGGCCGAGTAGACGTCGTCGTAAGGCTGCATGAAGCCGCTGAACTGCGCCCCGAAGCCGTTCTTGCACAACTCCGCCTGCTGGTTGCGCTCACGCTTGCGCCACTTGGCGCGCCGGTTCTTGAACCAGATCTGTGTGTGTACGTGTGTGTGTTTACGTGTGTATGTACGTGTGTGTACGTGTGTGTATGTACGTGTGTGCACGTGTGTGTATGTACGTGTGAGTACGTGTGTGTGTACGTGTGTGTACGTGTGTGTGTGCGCGTGTGTATGTACGCGTGTGTACGTGTGTGTATGTATGTGTGTACGTGTGTGCGTGTTGGGGAGACGTCGGGAGGGAAGAGACGCGGGGAGGGCGGTGAGCACTGGGGGGTGGGGGGCAGAGCACACGGGGGGGGGGGGGGGGGGCGCCGCTTCGCTCCGCACGCCGTGAATGCGGCACAGAGCCACCCCCCCCCCCACGCCACTCTCGGTCTCCTTGTAGAGCAGTCTCCCTGTCTTAGCCTTTAGACTCCCCCCCCCCATGTCTCCGAGTGTCTCCCCACGTCTCCCCCATCTCCCCACGTCTCTGCGTGTCACCCCCACATCTCCCCACGTCTCCCCCATCTCCCCACGTCTCTGCGTGTCACCCCCACATCTCCCCACGTCTCCCCCATCTCCCCACGTCTCTGCGTGTCACCCCCACATCTCCCCACGTCTCCCCCATCTCCCCACGTCTCTGCGTGTCACCCCCACATCTCCCCACGTCTCCCCCATCTCCCCACGTCTCTGCGTGTCACCCCCACATCTCCCCACGTCTCCCCCATCTCCCCACGTCTCTGCGTGTCACCCCCCACGTCTCCCCACGTCTCCCCCGTGTACTCCCCCCTCCCCCGCCTCTATTTTTATCTCTCGGCGCGGCGCGCGCGACGCGGATTGCCGGGAAAGCGGAGACGCCGCCGCGGGCTCTCACTCACTCGCTCGCTCACTCGCTCGCTCACTCGCTCGCTCACTCGCTCGCTCACTCACTCGCTCGCGACGCGTCGCTCCTGGCAGCGGCGCGCTCACGTCTTGTAGACAGCAGCAGCAGCAGCGTCAGCAACATCATCATCAGCAGCATCGTCATCAGCAACATCGTCATCATCAACAACATCAGCAACATCATCGTCAGCAACATCATCGTCAGCAACATCATCGTCAGCAGCAACATCGTCATCAGCAACAGCAGCAGCAGCAGCAGCAGCGTCAGCAACATCATCATCAGCAACATCGTCATCAGCAGCAACATCGTCATCAGCAACATCAGCAGCAGCAGCATCATCATCATCAGCAACATCGTCATCAACAGCAACATCATCATCAGCAACATCATCATCAGCAGCAGCGTCAGCAACATCATCATCAGCAACATCATCGTCAGCAGCAACAGCAACATCAGCAACATCAGCAACAGCATCGTCATCAGCTGCATCAACAGCAGCAGCAGCAGCGATATCGCCAACAACATTAAGCAGCAGCAGGAGCATCAGCTGCGGCAACATCACCATCAGCAACATCATCAGCATCACCAGCAGCAGCGTCAGCAGCAGCAGCAGCAGCGAATCGTCAACAACATTAAGCAGCAGCAGCAATATCAGCTGTGGCAACAGCAACGGCAGCACCATCATCAGATGTAGCAGCGGCATCAACAGCAGCAGCACTGGCATCGTAATCATCATCAGCACCAACAGCATCAGCAGCGGCACAATCAGTGTCATCATCATCACCACAGACATCACCATTATCACCACAGACGTCATCATCAGCAGCAGGGATGAAAAGATTCGGCCCCGATTACCGGTAACCGATTAACCGCGGAGTGCCTCCCCCAATATCGCCCGTACCTCCCCCTGTCCCCGAATGGCCCCCTCCTCCCCCACCACTGCACCCCCCCTACCCCCCTACCCCCCACCCCCCACACCACCCCCCCCTACCCCCCACACCACTCCTCGTCTTCTTCTGTCGTACGGCGTTTGATAAAGCGGCTACCCAGCCGTGAGCCGTGCGTGTTGGCGTCACCCCACCAGCCCCCCCCCCCCCGCGTTCGCCCTTCCCTCCCCCCACTAATACCCCCTCTCACACCCCCCCACCACCACGAACGCACTGATTTGTGTCAATGCGCGGTTACTTTTACCTCCCCCACTACCCCTCACTAACCCCCCCCCCCCCACTAACCCCCCCCCCACTAACCCCCCCTCCCACCTCTACTTAACCCACCCCGCTTCACCCCGCACCTGCCTGCGGTTGGCTACGTACGGCGCGAAAGAAGTTCAGCATTACAGAACGCGCGTCTTGTGACGTCCCTTACGTGCCGTCAAGTCACAAAGAGCCTTCGAAGCTCATCGGATTCCTCCAGCAGGAAACATAAAACATTTTCAGATTCGTGCGTAACCCCCCCCACCACCCCCCCCATTACATCCCCCCCACCACCTCCCCACCACCACCCCACCACCACCACCTCCCCCCCACCACCTCCCCCCCACCACCTCCCCCCATCACCTCCCCCACCACCACCTCCCCCACCCCCCACCACCTCCCCCACCCCCCACCACCTCCCATCATCTCCCCCCCACCACCTCCACCCCACCACCTCCCCCCCATCACCTCCCCCACTCACCCCCCACCTCCCACCCCCCACCACCTCCCCCCACCCCCCACCACCTTCCCACCACCCCCCCCCCACCACCACCACCGCCCGTACCCGCACGCGCGCCTCGGTGAGGTTGGTCCACACCGCGATCTCCTCCCGCGTGGACATGTCCGGGTAGCGGTTGCGCTGGAAGGTCGCCTCCAGCTCCTGCAGCTGCTGCGACGTGAAGTGCGTCCGCTGCCGCCGCTGCCGCTTCTTCTTGGACGGGTCATCGACGCTGCCTCCAGCGCCTGTGGAGGTGGGGGGCCCACCCCCGTGGGCACCGGGACCCGCTCCGACCACCCCCACCAAGTCGTCACCGACACCAACAACACCACCGCCACCCTTGCCCGTCTGCAGCTTCTCAACGTCTGGAGAGAGAGAGATTGAGATTTAAAGCTTCTTTCGTGACTGCAGGATGGATTCATATTCTTGGTTCTTTCGGTGAAGTCACGTAGACGGGAAATAATAAAAGAATAAAAATATAAAACAATAAAATTCTCACGACGTTTCGATTGCAACACAAGCAATCATCAGGTGTGAAAACCACAGCAAGAAATGTTTTTCAAATTTTTTTAAATGTTCTTGCTGTGGTTTTCACACCTAATGATGATTGCTTGTGTTGCAATCAAAACGTCGTGAGAATTTAATTGTTTAATTTTTATTATTTTATTATTTCCCTTCGACGTGACTTTATCGAACGAACCAATAATAAGAGAGAGATGTTGGGGTGGAGGAGGGGGTGGTGGTCACACACAGACACACAAAAGACAAAGATTCCTCCGGATTTACTTTTTATTTAAAGAATGTTTTGGGGCAAGTGCTGTTTCGCAAGCACCAACCCCTCACCAGGTACTCATTTGAGGCTGAGTCGGCCTAAGGGTCGGGAAGGAACAGGACCGGTTCAGATATTCGCCACTGGTGTTGGCCGTGAGCGGGAATCTAAACTCGTAACGCGGGTGCTCTATGAGTTTACACTCATAGACACTCACACTTGATCAACACACACACATGCAGCCATAAACCATTACATCCACTTACACGAACTGGCTAATACACACGCGCGCTTTAAACACACACTCGACTCAATGAGAACACTTAGCCAATCACACACACACACAAACTATCACATCCACACACACACATACTCTATCACACACATAAACTATGACATCCACACACATACACTATCACACACGCACATAAACTATCACATCCACACACACACATACACTATCACACACACATACACTATCACACACACACATAAACTATCACATCCACACACGCAAAGACAAAACCCTCCCGGATAGCCTAAACAGACTGTTGGGGCAAGTGCTGTTAGCGAGCACCTATTAAGGCCGGCACGGCACGCGAGGGGATTGGTGGTCAGCACCACGCCCGGCCGCCTTTGTCTCCCTAGCGGCGACGTTTATACACACACCGTACTCATTTGAGGCTGAGTCGACCTATTGGGAGGCCCATGACCCGTTCAGATAATCTTCGCCGGTGTTAGTTGGCGTGCTAACCGCTTAGCGCCCCCCCCCCCACACTCTCAGGGACACTCAGACGCGAAGGCGACACACGACACGACACAAAGACGCGCACGCCTGTACACACTCACAGAGGCAAAGATCCCCCGAGTAACCTCCTTTGTCTCTCGGGGCAAGTGGGCTCTGAGAGCGAGCGCCAATGAAGGTCGGCACACGGGCAGACCTTCGCCCGGCCGCCTTTGTCTCTTCCCAGTGCTGACGGTTATGCATCGCGCCAGCTGCCGTATACTCGTTTAAGGGCCGAGTCGATCTAAAGGTGGACCGGTTCTGATTTTGTTTTTTTTTCCCAGCGACGTTGGGGTTCGCGAGTGTGCCGAGTTGGCGTCACGGCTTCGATTCTCGCTCACGGCCAACCCCAGTGACGAACCGGTCCAAGGCTTCCTTCCCCTAGGTCGACTCAGCCTCAAATGAGTGCCTCGTGTGGTGTGTGACCATTGGGAGAGAGAAAGGGCGACCGGGCGTGGTGGTGGCCACAGCACTTGCCCCAAACAGCCCGTGAAGGCTGTACGGGGAACCTTTGCGTGTTGTGTTTGTCCGGGCAGCTGAAACAAACTTGCGTGTGTGTGTGTGGCACAGATGTAGTTGAGTTTCGTGTTCATAGCCAGGGCCTCGTTGCTCGCTGGACATTTTCGCTGGCGGCCGGGGATGGACTTGGGGCAGATTGCTTGTGGCCGACTGGCCAGGAGCACACGGGCATCGCGAGCAAGTTGCAATTTGTGTAACTACTGGACGTGGTGCGCGTGCCGGGTGCGAGAATCTCGTTAAACATCTACAAATAAAGGTCCATTCAGATAATAACGAATTATAAATGTTTGAATCCTCCACCGCCATCGGTTAACCGAGTAATTCGCCTCCCGTGGAGTGAGACGCTAATGTCGATAGAAAGCGGGGGGTGGGAGGGGGGAAAGGTCGCGTAAATTTACGCGACCTGACCCAACAAACTGAATTATTTACGCGATATAACCCAATTTTTTTTTATTATTACGCAATCTAACCCCCAAAAAACTGTATTATTACGCGATCTAACCCCAAAAAAAACTAAATTATTTACGCGATCTAACCTAAAAAAACCTTGTATTACTTACGCTATATAACCCAAAAAACTCCTGAATTATTTACGCGATCCAACCCCAAAATAACAGAATATTATTTACGCGATCTAAGAAAAAAAACCTGTATTATTTACGCGATCTAACCTAAAAAACCCTGTCCTATGGATGATATTGGTCACGAAAGCCGATTACGTGTTAAGCCTTAACAGACTTTAGGAGCAAGTAGCTGTTAGCGAGTAGCACCTATAAAGGCCGGCACGGCACACGAGTGGGTGGGTGGCCGGCAGCACGCCCGACCGCCTTTGTCTCCCCAGTGGCGATGTTTACACACCGCACCAGATACTCATTTGAGGCTGAGTCGACCTAGGGGGAGGCCCAACACCGATTCAGGTAATCGTCACTGGTGTTGGAGGCCATGAGCGGGGAATCATTTTGGGTGGCCGGTTTCAAGCGAGCAGCGCGCTAACCACTGCGCCACCGCTCCCCCTCCCCCACTTCCACCACACAGACACGCACAGACGCACTCGCTCACACATCAAACGCGTTCCCTGCGCACACGCACACAGACGCGACGCATTGGTACAATACCGCAGCATACCTTGCATGCGTGCGCAGCGGCTCGACACGCACGTGAACACAAACAAGGCCGTCGCCACCACTGAGTGATGTCAATTCTCGCGTCGTTATACGAGGGATGGAGCAGCTGAGTTTCGCCACAACGCTGTTTGTTTGTTTTTTTTGGGGGGGGGGGGGGGGGGTAACGTCACTTTTTTTAAACGTAATATTTGATACTGCTCTTCTTACGAACGAGTTTAGGTTTTAGAGGTCTGTTCGTAAGTCGCTTTGTTTCGTAAGTCCAACTTTACAGGACTCCTGTCGATTCCAAACACGTTGTACGGCATGCACACTAAACAATGGCTTTCAGAGTTGTATAATCTCCTGTGGATGTATAGGCCAATGGTTCTTCGCGTTCTGCAGATGTAGATGTCACTGGTTCTTCACGTTCTGCAGATGAAGATGCCACTGGTTCTTCACGTTCTGCAGTTGTAGATGCCACTGGTTCTTCACGTTCTGTGGATGTAGATGCCACTGGTTCTTGACGTTTTGCAGATGTAGATGCCACTGGTTCTTCACGTTCTGCAGATGTAGATGCCACTGGTTCTTCACGTTCTGCAGTTGTAGATGCCACTGATTCTTCACGTTCTGCAATTGTAGATGCCACTGGTTCTTCACGTTCTGCAGATGTAGATGCCACTGGTTCTTGACGTCCTGCAGATGTAGATTCCACTGGTTCTTCACGTTCTGTAGATGTAGATGCCACTGGTTCTTCACATTCCGCAGATGTAGATGCCACTGGTTCTTCACATTCTGCAGATGTAGATGCCACTGGTTCTTCACGTTCTGTAGATGTAGATGCCACTGGTTCTTCACGTTCTGCAGATGTAGATACCACTGGTTCTTGACGTTCTGCAGATGTAGATGCCACTGGTTCCTCACGTTCTGCAGATGTATAGATGCCACTGGTTCTTGACGTTCTGCAGATGTAGATGTCACTGGTTCTTCACGTTCTGCAGACGTAGATGCCACTGGTTCTTCACGATCTGTAGATGTCGATGCTTAAACATCTGAACACCTGTTTTATTTCCAGAGAGGGTGAAACCTATCTTATTTGTTTCATATTTCTGAACCTGGTCTGTCCCGAGCCCCCCCCCCCCCCTCGAAAATAATCGTCTTCTTCTGTACGGCTGCTGATGTAGACGCAGCGCAAACGACTTACAATCTCACATTCAGTTGGCGAAGTTCAGCCAAGCCCGTCATCGCTGCGATGTCCCCATCCTTCGTTTTTGTGGATCGGTTGCATTGCGTCGTGATGCCTCGCGCTCCCGTCTCAGTTCTGGGTGACCACAGTCGTACACCACCAGAGAGTTCTACATTTTTAAATCCTTTATATTAAGTTCGCTTGCTTGCTTGCTTAGGACCGTGCAAATCTTTCGGTCGTTTTTTTAACCCACTTCCCGTGATCCAATCGAGCTGACATTTTGCACACAGACTCGTTGTGCGTGACAATGAATTTTCGTGAATTTTTTTTTCCCAAAATTTTACACTGTTTAGGGAATTTTTTAAAAAATATTTATTTACCAATTGGTTAATGCTGGCACACAATCATCTGACCCATAGGTGGCAGCCATCTCAAGCCAGAGGACGAGAGGACTCTAGCCGCCCCGATGCCACGCATATAAAGGATTTATAGTGAAAAACTTTGTTTTTACGGGTTAATTTTTCCATTTGTGCATCATCAGCTGTCCGCATCCACTGCCGTGGTTTGTGCGGTGGATGCGGTTGAGGGTGGGGGCCGTGAGCTTCGTGGAAATATCAAACCCAGGGATTTAATATTTGGGTGTTTCATGTGATTATAATAGTGATGATGTGTAATTGTTAAAGACACAAATGTGAAGGAGGCCAATTGTCCACTTATCTGTGTTATGTTACTTCAATTATATAGTCTGCTACTGCTGCGTTAACACATTGGTGTACTAGCATCGACAACACCGTGAACTCAACTCGTTGTAGCGCACTGTGCTAACCACTACGCCACCGCTCCCCGGTCTGTATAGCTATGAACAGACTGTTGGGGCAAGTGCTGTTAGCGAGCAGCACCGATGAAGGCCGGCACTGCGACACACGGGCGGGGGGGGGCAGCACCACACAAAGACAAAGACAAAGACCCCCCGTATAGCCTTAACAGACTGTAGGGGCAAGTGCTGT